CAGAAAGGGGGTTTTCCAGCCAAGCCACAGGCCTGGGTACCTCACCAGCTCCAGCGTGGGTGCTAACCTCCCTCAGGCAGAGCAGGGATTTCCTGGGCTCCTGTCTGCAGCCGGGGGGCAGGGCACGGAGCAGGACCAGAGGGGAGCACCCAACCCTTATTCAGGGGAGAGAAGAGGGCGGGTTTACATTGCAATCAAGACTCGCCGCTGACCTTCCAGCCAAGCCACAGGCCTGGGTACCTCACCAGCTCCAGCGTGGGTGCTAACCTCCCTCAGGCAGAGCAGGGATTTCCTGGGCTCCTGTCTGCAGCCGGGGGGCAGGGCACGGAGCAGGACCAGAGGGGAGCACCCAACCCTTATTCAGGGGAGAGAAGAGGGCGGGTTTACATTGCAATCAAGACTCGCCGCTGACCTGGGCCACATGACTCAGGCTGCAGCACGCTCCAGTCCAAGCCGAACCACTAGTCTGCGGTTTCCTAGCCCCGCAGCCACAGCCGCGCTGCAGGATCAGCATGCCGAGGGAGGAGGGACCCCTTGGCAGAGCCATGGAGACACCCTTGGGAGTCCCTCAGGCAGGACAACTGCTCAGCAGCAGAGGACATTCGGCCTGCACCCTGGCCAAGGCCAAGCTCTCCCCACCACTGCACCAGGAAGAGCAGATTCCCCTTCACGCTGCTCCGAGTCCTGCCCTGGTGGGGAGACCAAGGACACTCCTACTGCAGCTACTATGCCAGGACTCGGATACAGCGCGTGCGACACGCGATCGAGGGAGGGTCGCACTGCCGCAGCTGAAGCTCGGCGCGCGCATTCGCGAGAGCTGCCTCTCGCTGGCACCCATCGTCTTTCTGGGTCCGCCAGCTCCCAGCAGATGGGAGCGCGCTGAATGGGACGAGACTCACAGGCTGATGGCAGGAGACATTCCCCAGCCTAGGGCCTGGAGAGCTGCCCTGAAGAACGAGTCACTGGACCACGCGTGCTCCAGCCCCACACAGCACAGGCTTCCCCTCAGATCCCAGCAGCTGTTCCAGCCCCTTTGCTCAGATGCCACCTCCAACACTGCTCCGCTGCACACAGGTGTCCACTGCACTGCAAGCAGGAAGTGAACTCTCGACCCCCACGGGTTCCCTAAATGTCTCCCACCTCAGCCCCTCCTGCAGCAGCCACTCTCACCTCAGTTATGCAAAGGCGGGGAGGAGGGGAAGAGGGAAGAAATCACTGGGCATGTGTTATGTGGCAGGCCCCCGTAACAGTGACTCAGACTGGAAGCAAATC